GGGTGTTCTTTAGCAGGTATACTCCCAGGAATAGGCACTGCTTGTCTTAAAAGATTTACACTACGTCTGCAAGCTGTGATAAAAATCATAGCTCATAAATTCAATAAAGGTCACAAGAAACTCTCAAAGGCCGTTGCTGCCTTGGCTGACACCCAAGAAAAACTCTGACAAATAGTCTTTCAAAACCGTATAGCCCTTGATTTTCTCCTCAGTGCTCAAGGGGGAGCTTGTGCGGTTATCGGACCAGAATGTCGTGTTACCCGTCTTTGCGCACGCGGGCTGTGGCCAGCAGCCCGGGCACGCGGGGTCAGAAGGGACGGCGGGGCGGTAAGGAACGCAGGGGCTAGAATTAGCCACAGAGGCGTAGTGGCTGATTTAAAGATTGTTTTACTTACGCCGCAGATGGTCGCGGTGCAGGCAGGAAAACTTGCTTGACTTGCGGTTACAGACAGGAAAGAAGAGAGGCGGGCAAGAGTTCTCAACTCGCGCACTCTAGCCCAATCCGGCTGAAGGCTCTAAGCACGCGAGCCCGTCGTCTCAACCGAAGAGAGTACTCGTACAAAAGAGCTCCGAATAAACTCACACGAAGTTTGCTAGGCTCCGTGGAACTTGTGCTCTGAGGTAGTCCGGTCGTCTGAGCAACTATGTCAGTTGTAGTGCGCAGGTTTGTTATTACCCTGAAATAGAATAGTTTTCTGATACGCATACTGTTAGGTTTACAATCATTTAGATTATTAAGAAGTATTAGCTTTACAGCTGAATACAAGGCATGACCTGTGGCCTAGCAATGCAGCTGACCACAAGGCAGATTGATAGCTAAGCCTTTGCTTGTGTCAAGTAATCATTTTAACTGTATTAAGCATTTTCTGAGTTAAAAGCAGCAAGTATCTCTGTGTCTGTGTGCTGAAAAATCAGCTACAGCAAGAAGTAAGATAAGACAGGGAAACCATTGTTCTGGGTGCAGTGGTTGTGTCCTTGAGAGGTATCTACTACTGTGTAAGGTTTTGCTAACATATTATAATGTTACTGTTACTTAACTTTTAGCTTTTAAAAAAGTGCTAGTTCAGCTTAATAGAAATATGCTGTTACAAAGATTTAAAGACCACCGCCCAAGTATTGCTTTTTTTGTTAACCATGAAGTCTTGCCTTGTTGTAATAAGTATAAAAGATCACCTCCACCCTTAGGGGGGGGCCATTTTGCCTTTTGCTGGCTTTATGGTCTTTGCTCGAGCAAATAAACAGCCGTCTTTCTTTACCTGCGTTGTCTGTCAATCAAATTACAGCTAGACAACGAACCCCAGGGAGGTTTCTCCCACCACAACCGCGCTGCCCGGGATCTAGTCGGGCGCATCGTCCCCCGGGCTGCGGACAAACTTTCACCTGGGAGCTGTCGGGGAGCACGCAGGGCTTCCCCTGATAAGCGACTTGCAAGAGGAAAGGCTTTAAAAAAAGCAAACGGTTTATTTACCATTTATTTATTTAGGGTGGCCCTGCAGAAGGGCCGTGGACACGTTGGACAGAGTCCAGCGGAGGGCAACGAAAATGGCTGTGGGGCTGGGGGACAGGCCTGGTGAGGGAAGGCTGAGGGAAGTGGGCTGGTTGAGTCTGCAGAAGAGAAGACTGAGAGGGGGATTTGATAGCAGCCGTCACCTCCCTGCAGGGGGGTGCAAGGAGGACGGAGCTGGGCTGGTCTCAGCGGGGGCAGACGACAGGACAAGGAGCAATGGGCGGGAGCCGCAGCAGGTCAAGCTGAGGACGCCCCGCCCAGCAGGGGGAGGTGCACAACAGGGGGCGGCGGAGGATGGGGCTGGCGGCCAATGGCGAGCGGAGCCCAGCGGGCTAATGGCAGGCGGCGATAAGGGGGCGGTGCCGCAAAAGCCCCACCCCCGCCTTGCGGCCCACGGCCAATGGCAGCACAGTGCCC